ATTTATTACAAAAATGTCCTTTCTTAGTATCTACTTACTCACAAATACTCTAAACAAGTTTTTATGATAAACAATTGTCCAGTCTAGTTTATATTTACAATTAAATAGAATATACTATTATAGAAATTAAGAAATACAATCCACAGTGTAACTTTTTCATTCAGATATATGTTTCATTATCGTCTGAAGACAACAAGGTTATTATGACCTCTACACATTATCCTTTATCATTACGTTCCATTTTACCATACAACAGGCAGATTTCAACTGCTATAGCTAGTTCGAAATGTCATGAGCCTTCACATACCCAATAAGCGGGCCTTATTGCTTTCATATTGTACTATACATTACAAAAACATTGACTAGGCTGTTAACTACGTATATCATGTGCCTCGCTGTGCAACAATAAAACAATTAATTACTGTAATAAGTGGTTAAAGTGGATTGAAAATTTTACGGAAAATTTCCAACATAGACGGTAGGAGCTTTGTGTGTGCTTTTAAGAAAATTTCCAATGCTGTTAGTAATTATGTTTTGATTAAAAAAAGTTATGTTACATTACATTATAGTCTTGAAGTCAGTTTTTCAAAAAATTAACTTGAAAAATTATGAATTGAAAAAAGTAGAAACTCTAAACCTTATTCTGGTTAACACTCTTGATTTATTTGCAAAACAATGCCAACGTTTCGCTCTTGGTTCGGATCTTCATCAAGGTTTATTACTTGGTCGTTAATTGTATAGAATAGCAATCGACGTAGTTCCTGATTAAAACTATATTCTTCTTTAGAATAATTCAACAATATTTCCCATTTATTTCATAGGTTTCCAAATTCGACAAAATTCAGTACGATGGTCAATATCACAGAAGGTAAACATTTTAAAAACAATTTTAAAATAAGCACTAATGTCACAATAATAATTAAAAAGTTTTTGTTTTTTCCTTAAAATCAATTTAAAAAATTAAATCATTATAAGTAGACGAACGACCAGAACGACTTAACTTTGTTTATTTTTATTTGTTTTATAAATAGGTAGATACCTATAAGTAGTTGCTATTTAAACAATTTTACATCAAATGTTGCTAATATTCTGCATAAAAAACTGTTGCTGCTTGTGTGCAATACATAATTAAAATTAATGTGTTATAAACATTGTGTTACAAATTATAGTACGTAGGTACTTTATTGTATTACAGGATATTAGAGGATAAGTTTGGATTGAACGGGACACTCCATATGGCTGCTCCATCTGCAATGTAAGTCATAATATTTTTATCTATACATGTATCTATACTAATATTATTATTGACGGCTTACTAAATAGACCATTATTGTTATTATTACCATCATTTAACATCATCATCTTTATCAGATTACATTTCCGTAAGTTCACTATCATATTCGAATAAAAGGGCACCTTATAACAGTTTGCGACATGTTTTTCGTCCGTTATAAAAAGTAGTTCTCATTTTATTGACGTGCCTTTTTTTACTGCTTCAAGGCGATGTATACTTGTCTGTGTTTTTTTTTATGATTTTGATAAAAACGAATTCGTCATTATCAAAAAAGCCTGCTTCGTCACGAATGAACGAACGAGATTAACATAATGAGAGTGAAAAAGAGATGGAAATTGAAATATTTCCTGTAAAAGAAAAGTACTTCGGTGTCCAGGTCCGATCTAACACGAAATTTATTGTATTTAGGAAATGAAATGTTTGTAGACTTTGTCGTAGTCGAATTTATTTTTTAATCGATATACGAAACGGTGCTGCATGTTAATTGATATCGAATTTATTATATTTATGCAAATGTTATTCGGTTTATGTACTTAACAACAAGAAAAAAGACAATGTTACAATAGTGTCCATTTGTATTAGGTACCTGCGAGCTTTTCTTTTAAAATCGTATTTAAAATAGGGAGAAATGACCAAACGGATTTAATAAATGTACATTTTTCGGATGAATACAATAAAAAATGTAATGACTTATTATACAGAAATAAATTAAATGTTGCCTGTGAGAGAACTATAATTTAAATAATGCTTTGGCACCACCTCACTAAGCAATATTATCTGTTATGGTTTGGTTTACTTGTTCTTTTCTTATTAAAGAACAATTTCTCATATGGTCCAACCAAACACATCACCTTCTTATTCCACTATTTTTTCAATTTTTTAGTTATAAAACTGTTCGCCTGTTGCCTTTGCCTCAAAATTAATATGAAATTTACATTAATTAATTATAAATTCTTCGTTTCAGTACAGTATCAATTTATTTTGCCTTAAAAAGGTAAGTTAATTAAATTGGTACGTAAAAAGAACTAGCTGCGACTTCTGCCGATTAGTAGCTGAATTATTTCAGCACTGCCGCGATATCTTACGAGAAGTAATAAAAATTCTACTTTGTAGAACTCTGTACTTCTACGGAAATTTGTAACATTAGTTTTGCGTTTTCGCAAAAGATGAATTTTGGCGTCCTAAAAAGATTTGCTCGAAGGAACGCGATTTTATTACAACTAGTTTTAAATAATTATGAAATAAATATTACGTTAGATGACAAAAGCTGTATTTCCATCCGTTATCCATTTATAAGACTCTCGGGATTATCAGGATGTGAAGTAATTCTTCAGTAAATCATAATTGTTACAATTTTGTATATTGTAGACTTGGTTTTCAAAGTTATTGTATGTGGATATTTTTAATACTTTATATCTAAAAATTTATTACAAAAATGTCCTTTCTTAGTATCTACTTACTCACAAATACTCTAAACAAGTTTTTATGATAAACAATTGTCCAGTCTAGTTTATANGAGAGAGGTGAGGATTTTGAAAATTGTTTCATTTCTAAGACACTTTATTCCAGAAAAACGTGGGGTATTTTTCTGTATTAAATACAGTGAGCTTTCGTTTAAAATAAGGAATTTTATATGTAAAAATGTTTAATTATTCGAGCGTACTACCTGCCTTCTTCTATCCGAATGCTCGCTCTCTCTACCTGCACGGTATAGCAACTCTGATGCTCGTTGAATTCGTAAACTAATTCATAATTTGTTTTAAACAATGAAACGTAATTTCTGGTCAAATGAAACGTACTTGCACTTTTTTATCTGTACTGTTTATTGGCACTTTTTTATCTGTACTGTTTAATGTTATGGAAAAAGAGAATTTTGCATATCTAGGTGTATTTCTGCGCTAGTCCCCACATTTTTTGATATTTTCTTCACCTTTGTCGTCTTTTATAATAATTGTTTAACAGGTCGAAATTTCAGTTGCGCTTTTTTATGTTTAACATTTCTGCGTAATTTTGATGTTTTAACCATGAAATTTGCTTTAATTTGCACTCCAGTCAAAAACTCTTGTCAGTATGTTATTCATACAACTTCATGTATTACATTCACCTTTAAAGCCTATCAAAATGAAGTCGAAAATTCATTTGCGCTTTTTTATGTTTATCATTATTACGAAAATTTTCGGGTTTTAATAACGAAATTGGCTTTGTTTAAAACTTCATTTCTAAACTATTGTAAGTACATTATTCTTCACACATTTCCACATTGCTTTCACCCTCTTGAACCATCAAAATCATTGTTTAACAAGTTGAAAATTCAGTTGCGCTTTTTTATGTTTAACATTGTTATGTAATTCTGGGGTTTTAACAATGAAATTTGCTTTATTTTAAATTGCAGTCCAAAACTGTTATCACCACGTTATTATTCACACATTTTTATATCAACTTCACCCTCTCGTATCATCAAAATCATTGTCTAATAAGTCGAAAATTCAGTTGCGCTTTTTTATATTTAACATTTTTAAGTAATTTTCAGGTATTAACAATGAAATTTGCTTTATTTTAAACTGCAGGTCAAAACTGTTGTCTGGATGTTTTTCCTCACACATTTCTATATAACTTTCACCCCCTTGAACCATTTAAATCATTGTTTAACAAGGCGAAAATTCAGTTGCGCTTTTTTATATTTAACATTTTTAAGTAATTTTCAGGTATTAACAATGAAATTCGCTTTATTTTAAACTGCAGGTCAAAACTGTTGTCTGGATGTTTTTCCTCACACATTTCTACATTACTTTCACTCCCTTGAACCATTTAAATCATTGTTTAACAAGGCGAAAATTCAGTTGCGCTTTTTTATGTTTAACATTTTGACGTAATTTTCGGGTTTTAACAATTAAATTTGCTATACTTTAAATTGAAGTCCAAAACTATTGTTTGCACGTTATTCCTCACACATTTCTACATAACTTTCACCCCCTTGAACCATTTAAATCATTGTTTAACAAGGCGAAAATTCAGTTGCGCTTTTTTATGTTTAACATTTTGACGTAATTTTCGGGTTTTAACAATTAAATTTGCTATACTTTAAATTGAAGTCCAAAACTATTGTTTGCACGTTATTCCTCACACATTTCTACATAACTTTCACCCCCTTGAACCATTTAAATCATTGTTTAACAAGGCGAAAATTCAGTTGCGCTTTTTTATGTTTAACATTTTGACGTAATTTTCGGGTTTTAACAATTAAATTTGCTATACTTTAAATTGAAGTCCAAAACAGTTGTTTGCACGTTATTCCTCACACATTTCTACATAACTTTCACCCCCTTGAACCATTTAAATCATTGTTTAACAAGGCGAAAATTCAGTTGCGCTTTTTTATGTTTAACATTTTGACGTAATTTTCGGGTTTTAACAATTAAATTTGCTATACTTTAAATTGAAGTCCAAAACTATTGTTTGCACGTTATTCCTCACACATTTCTACATAACTTTCACCCCCTTGAACCATTTAAATCATTGTTTAACAAGGCGAAAATTCAGTTGCGCTTTTTTATGTTTAACATTTTGACGTAATTTTCGGGTTTTAACAATTAAATTTGCTATACTTTAAATTGAAGTCCAAAACTATTGTTTGCACGTTATTCCTCACACATTTCTACATAACTTTCACCCCCTTGAACCATTTAAATCATTGTTTAACAAGGCGAAAATTCAGTTGCGCTTTTTTATGTTTAACATTTTGACGTAATTTTCGGGTTTTAACAATTAAATTTGCTATACTTTAAATTGAAGTCCAAAACAGTTGTTTGCACGTTATTCCTCACACATTTCTACATAACTTTCACCCCCTTGAACCATTTAAATCATTGTTTAACAAGGCGAAAATTCAGTTGCGCTTT